CACACACACACACACACACACACACACACACACACACACACACACACACACACACACACACACACACACACTGAGGTTTTGAAACCATGGAGGCAGGGGGTGCGCTCCACGCAGCAGTAAGGTTTTTCCAATCCTGCAGCAGTTTCCTTTTTTTTTTTTTTAACTTTTCTCTATTCTCTTCATGAAATTAACAGTCTTTTTATTAGTGGATAAACTTCACCAAATAATATAATCCGCAAACCAAAAATTGCGTTTTGCGTGCGAAGGGAGGAGTTTAATTGAGTTTGGCTCGCGCGCCCGCGCGTAAAGTGGCCCAAAGTGCGCGCTCTCATCTCTGCTTGACCAGAGGCTGCATGATGCTGCTGCTTATTGTCATTAGATCAGCTCCACGCGCGCATGCGTGCGTCTGCCCCTCCACTAAAATCACATCAAGACATTTGCAGCAGTCGTGGTGCGGTTGTGGGTGGATGGATGAGGCGGGGCGCATCCGCTGAGGCCGCGGCCCGAACCTCCGTTCCAACATCACTCATTTTTACATTTGTTCTCATTAATGCAAACAGAAATAAATACTATCATTTTGATGCATTTTTGACACTTTTTATGTTTAAACTTTATCAGACAGCTTGCAAGAATCCAGAGCAGTGGTGATCATGACTGTGTGCGTCTTTTTACGCATCATCAGCTCGTTGTTTGTCAGTTCGTTTTCAGGTAAGAAGTAAGAATAACTTGATGTAAATCGAGACTCATGAATGATTCTGTGTGGTGAAACTCCAGCACCATTTCTGAGTCTCAACAAGAAGAGTCTCACATCCATATGGAAACATCTGTCTCCATCATTGGCACCAAAATGCGCACATTCAAGTGAAACTGGACCAACCTCAGACCCTCCTGTCCGCGAGGCTCAGAGGTGAGTTTACCAAGAAACTTAAAGTGTTTCAAAGTTAAACTCTCCCTTCATTCATTCATTCATTCATTCATTCATTCATTCATTCATTCATTCATTCATTCATTCATTCATTCATTCATTCATTCATTCTCTCTCTCTCTCGCTCTCTCTCTCACCCTTCCCGAGTTTAAAAAAAGGAGCATCCAGGAGCGACTCTAGCTTTCCCGCAGTTTAACTTTAATCCCCTCAAAAGAAGGACCCGGGGTCTCTTCCAGGGCCGCTAATCCGTCCTTTAGCTCCACGCAGCGCGGAGGTTTTAACTTTGGACATTTTACATTCATGAGGGCAGCGGAGGGACGGAAACAGTAACGGGGCGAGCTTTGGCATTCATGGCGTCTGAGTCAACAGGGAAGGGTGGGGGGGGGACACAAAGGTCCCCTGGAGACTCCTGAGAGAGAGAGAGAGAGAGAGAGAGAGAGAGAGAGAGAGAGAGAGAGAGAGAGAGAGAGAGNGAGAGAGAGAGAGAGAGAGAGAGAGAGAGAGAGAGAGAGAGAGAGAGAGAGAGAGACTCCGACTTTACAGATTATAATCCTGCAGGTTGTTGAGAAGAAGAGGCAAAAGAAACGTGCTTGATTGAACTCTTTAATTCATGGACAGACCAAAACAGGTTTATATTATAAAGTAAAATGACGCAGCATAATCAAACAAATCTATGCTTGTGTTTTATGTTCTTTTACAATTATACCTGCCCCTATTAAATAAGCTCAGAATGTATTTTAATTTATAATTATCATATAATATATAATCATTAATACCGTCAGATTAATCAAATTGTGAACTAAAATCAAAGTTGAACTCTAAATGAATGACTTCTGGTGAATTTTGTTGAAAACGATTCTTTATTCTTGAAACAACAAACAGCATTTATTCTAAACAATAATAAAGTAGCCTGTCGTCTTCTCATTCCCTTCATCTCAGGACGCAGGTCGGCGTCAGACACGCAGAAATGACGCGAACCTTGTCTTCAGTTTATGATGGATGACTGGACGTGATGGAGACACGGAGAGGTGTGCAGGGACAGAGACGCGTGGATAAAAGGATAAATGAAGGGGAGGAGACAAAGGCGCGCGGGGAGGCCCGGCCTGGTTTCTGTGGCCTGTCAGTCAGAGCAGAGGACTGAAGGTCCATCCATCACCAAAAACTCAAAGCGGAACATGTCCCAGGAGCCTGAAACTGGTTTTCCTTTTCCTCCTTTTCTCACTTAGATACCAGCAGATATTGATTCTCAGATCTGTATGAACTGGCTTTTTGCGCAGCTTTATTAAACAAAAAACAAAACAAGTAAAAACAGAGGCGAGTTAACTGGAATCTGGCGAAAAAATAGATTTAACTCAAATAATAAAACAAAACAAAAATGCACTTGTTTCATGCTGCACATAAAACATGGATCAATTATAAAATCAGGAAACTTTATTTCAAATTTACAAAGAATTTATTTGATAAAACAAAAAGAGATAAAGAAACCCCTAAAATGAAAGGTTTGTCTTTTGATTATTCCGCACATTTTAATTCACAAAATGTGTGTACCGTGAGTCTAATTCATTTAAATTTTCTTGCTGAGAGAATTTAATGACATATTAAAACATTTATAGTGATTGGTAATGATAAATGGGGCCGCATTTTGCACAAACTGTAAGATTTCCTCGTGCGTAAAATACTCGTCTTTGTGCGTAAAATGATTTTCCATCATAGGCCTCATTCCATTTGTGATCAGAACCTCGTTTAATATTAACTTGACATTTTTTTTATGTTCCAGGTTTGTCGACAATCTTAACAGTGAAGTTATGCTTTTAAAAAAAAAAAAAAAAAAGTTCCCTTTCAAAAACCCTTCAAACTTTCAGTAGCCAGAGGCTGTGCTGACTGCGGTGTGCGTCACTCAAATGTGTCGTGTCATCGCCCCTGTTTAGAGCCGCTTTCCTCCGCGCAGAAACGAAATTCAGAGCTCACAGCGGCCTGGTGCTGAGCAGCAGCAGCAGCAGCAGCAGCAGCAGCAGCAGCATGGCGGGTGGCGCACATTTGATTTGCTCAGTGATGGATGAGAGCGGAGCAGCGGTGAGGAGGAGGAGGAAGAGGAGTTGAAGGACCCGGGGGTCCCGTTGGTGCCGCCCGCATATCAGTCCCTAATTACCGAAATAAACGGTGACGCTCCGGCGCGCACACATGGGTCAGGGAGGGGAGCAACAACATTCAGCAAAAAAGGGAAGAAATTAAGAATAGTAATAATAAAAAAAAATGCATATTGCAGCTTTTCATGTTAGCGTTTTCTAAAGTCATCTTATAAGAAATAATTGAGTTGTAGCCGTTTAAGTCAAACCTGC